ACTAAATTTAGTAGCTGATTGGATTGCTGGTGTATACCCCAATTAATTGACGCTTTTTATGTTCTTTTAGTGTGTGCCGTTGAACTTTTTTTTTTTTTTTGCTTTTGTTTCACTACTTTAATGTGACTTCATTCATATTTTTTTCACATTTTTTTAATGTTTGAATTTGAAACTTCCTCCTGTTCTTCAATTGTGCTTTATCATCTTCATCACTTCTCTCTCTTCTTCCTTCTTGCACCAATATCTCTTCTATGGTCTTTCATGCTCTCTTCTTGGCTCCATATTGCTCTCTAATTTCCGGACCACATATTACTACATGAATCTCATTAATGTTGTGTATTTAGACATTGACTAGAAACGAAGTTTCTACCATGTTAATTGTGTTGTCAAACTCTATCATTGAGCTTTAATATATTTTATTACTATGATAGGTTACTTAAAGAGAGTTTAAATATATTTTAAAAAGTAGTGCTGCCTGATCCTATAACGGGAATTGGACAAAAATTACTGAAATGTGCACTACCCACCAATCAAGATTGTGGATGATCAATGTTGACACTAAAGGAGATCAATATTTACATCTTTGGTTGATATCTAAGTTAGTCATGTGATTGTTACATCCTTAACTTTTGAGTCTTTTTGCTAACTAATGTAGCGTTTCAGTTACTGAAAATGATCAATACGACTAGGTCGTACTACTCTTACTGATTTTAAATATAAAACTTATTTCATAATATAAATTTATATTAAAAAATAGATATTATATTTAAAACTGAAAGAGTAGTCGTTAAACTGAAGGATCTGCAGATGTAGGTTGTCAGTCGATGGACTGGACAAAGAATGGAGAAAATTAAATTTTTCGAAGTTCTTTGTGACACAGTTAGCGAAGAATGACAAGGAAGCTTCTGGGTTTACTCCAATGCTATTCCCCCAACTTTCAGAACATACTAACCGCGTTTTGGAAAGTTCCTGAGGTATTTTGCAAATATCTATGGAAATTAAATTTTTTTCCCCTGAAATGCCTTGAGTATATTGAAATTATTTTTTAAAAAATTAATTTTATTACTTTAAAAAGTTGTTATTTAATTATTTAATTTTTAAGTGACGAAGAAGTAATGATTTTTTACTTAATTAGATATTGAAAATTCACCGTCTTCTCAAATTGGTTCTGGTTTTATTTTATTATCTAAGTTTAGAATTTGGCAAATAACTAAAGTGTGAGTGAAATATAAGGTGAGATCTTGTATGAAAAAAAGAAACACAACCGAGATCATGAGATAATGTAATGATCTCAATTCTAAAATACCTCAACACAATAGAGTCATCAGCATATATTTAATATTCAATTCAGTTATAACTATAGGTATATGAAAACACATTCAAATAGTATCGTAAACAAACTGATAGAAACAAAGGAAAAAGACAGAGGGGAGGAAAAGAAATGGAAGCCACGGAGAGAGGATTCCCTTCTCACTAACCGTCCTCCGCATATATAGCGCTGCTTTCATATTGTTGAGATTCCATTCGGTTACTGCTAACAGCATCATGCAAAGGCACCATAATTGTTGGGTGATCATAAGCCACGTGTCCTCTTTGGGTCCCACTAATATTTGGCAGGGTCATGACAGATAATTACACCATTTTAACTCTCACATTCTTAAATGTTATATAAAGTTTAGTTAGTATAAACAATGTAAAATTTGTATGGGTCTATATTTATATATATATATATATTGTGCCGTTGTGATTCTCTTCATTTTTTGATAATAGCAATTTCTTAACTTCAAAATACAGGGAATTGACAGGGTCGTCACATGCTCACAGCTCTGAAACAATATATACACCACCAACAACATAAATGCTCCTGTTCCATTGGATGGAGTTTGAAACACAAATTTTATTTTTCTTTGTTTTCATTATTTTACCCAATTAAACTAAATAAATAAAAAACATTTAATTTATTTTATAATATATCAAACGCAATTATTTTTTGATAAAAAATATTTATATTTTCATTCTTATAATTATTCAGATTCTCATTCTTACTTCACTCGTTTTTATAAACCAAAATAGACATAAATCAATTGTTCACATTGTGTGAAGAGTAGTCTCAGCTTTGTTTGGGGTCGAAAACAACCATTGTTCTCCTAATATTATCTAATTTGTACATACCAATAAAATAATTTAAACTAATTTATGTCTTGAAACTTCTTTCGATCTTTATACCCTGACCCTCAACTAGTACTCGTAATTTATGGCTTGGGCTGAGTCATTTTTTCAGCAAAAGTGAATATCAGGGAATTTTCATATCCCGGAAGGACAAAAAGAAAAATTAGAAAACGATATGGACCAACATGTGCATCCTATATGTTCCTTTTGCTCTCTTTCTTAAGAAAGAGACGACTAAGCCAATTGGAATGGTGTGACCACAAGGACCGGCCTACGGAGAAAAGATTCAAAAGGCAAATTCACCAAATAAGATATTTAAAGGACAAAGTAATTAACCTTAGTATTTCAAGATTACAGTACACACAAATCTCCTAAGCATATCCACAGTTGCCAGCCACTGCCCATCAGAACGGGTAAAAATTCTTATCATGGGAGGTTCGTGTAGGAGGTAACATCTCATCCTGCTCCTAATCTATGAACAAACCCCACACATACAGAGATAATGGCTCAGATTGTCCTTTCACTTTTGATAACCACATGCCAGCATGATTACTTGAAAATGAAATTAGAAGTTTATAGTACAAACATATATACTAATTTGGCTTCAAATATCTGAGAAGACTACAGAATGGCGATCACCAAATGATAAATAGTATAACAAAAATTAATACAGCTTTCACTTTGGAACATCTGACTCGTGCAGCACAGAACACAAAACACTACAGTTGAATGAGGCTCACAAAAAGTGTAGTCACATCATGCAAACAATCACACTTCTCAGTCAAGAGATGGACTATGGGGCAGGCATCAATAAGAAATCACCTATCAAAGAAATGTAATGAGTCGCCATATTTTACCCAAAAAAAAAAATACAATTGGAGGTTCACAAAGACAATTTGAAAGGAAAGGCTTGTGCCAGTTTAGTATATCCCTCGGACATGCCTAACTACAATCAACCAAGAGGAAAAAAAAATCATAGAATAAGCAAATGGTCGTCTACCAGGGAGTTGCCTGTCCCTAGCACTCCATGTATTTTTCCCAACTTCAGGCCTCCTCAATTCAAATAGATTAGGCTTCACATGAATGGAGTATGCAAATATCACGCCTGAATTAGCAATGGTGCTGCAAATTATCTCCCGTGATGACTCGCTCTTAACTTGGACAAGCAGATCAGTTTCTGCAAAGCCTCCGGCTGTGACATGTGTAGCATCAGGGAAGAAACCTTCTTTTGGTTGTACAGAAAGAACATCTAAACAATATGAGAAGACTGCACTATAAGCATTGCTGATTCATTGGACAATGAGCCCTTCTACTCTGCTTATCCGGCAAGCGATCTGTCAAAAATAAGCACAGAAAAAATGAACAGAATCGGTGAATGAAATTGAAACCAACAAAATATAAGATTTTATTCACATGCTTAGCAAGGGATATACAAATTGTCTCTAAAGAAATGATGTAGAAATAAAATCCAAGGACACACCTCGACAGATTGGTAATGCCCCAGTGGAGGCACTGGCTGCATGCATGTGAGGACTCAGCATAAACATAGATCCATTTCTTGAGCAATTTTTTCACATATGGTTTATTCACAGAATATAGAAAGAGACTTCTGCAACATATAATACAGAAAGCAGGCATCAGTTTGAAAATTTTGTAACACAAAGAAAGATGTTAAAATCTAAATGCGTATGGTTTACATATCTAGCGATGACCAAAACGAGCAGGGGAATCATGGACAAGGAATATGCCCTTCATATTTAACATGGCTCAAAAGAATGGGAGTTGGCAGTGATCAAACTAGTGACTAATTAGTAATTGGTCATAAAGACTTTAATACCATGTCATGGACAGGGAATATGCCCTTCATTAGTAATTTTGTTCAGTTAATTTCCTGTCTTTCAGTAGACATCCACACCAACTACTGCGATCTGACCTAAAACAGAAACAACCACCAAGAAAGGTTTTCACATAAAAGATAGCCAGAGAGTACTCCAGTTTCAAAACTAACAAAGTAATAATAGCTGACATACAAATTGATGAATCAAATATTAGACACTCCCACTGCCGAGACCTCAAAGCCCAGTCTGTAATTCTGTGGATTTCATAACCCAATGTAGCATGGCCAGCATCTTATCAAGCTGTGAGGAAACAAAGATGGCTGAGAATTGTGAACATATTTCACCTACTAGTGCTAAAAATCAAAGTCTTGATGTTTCAACAAAACACAGAAGTAGTGGATCATTAAGCTGCTTTTTCTACTTCATTGTTTGCAGTAAGTTGGCCACACATTCATGTCATGGCAGATATATATACCGGCGAAAAATGACCCAAAACTTTCACATATTCATATCATTAGCATTTGTACTCCAAGTGACACTTAAAACTCGTCCTGAAATTATATGGAACTCATTTAATAGAAACCTAGCAGAGTACATAAAGAATCTATAGCAAGCCTCATGATTCGGGAGAAGAAATCTCACTATTGATCCCAGATTTGACGATATGGACGTAGGTACAGAGTTTGATTTTTTAATGATAAATTTCTCTTGGCATAACAAAAGGCCATTTATCCTAAATGTACCTAACAATGATAAAATCCGGCTCCTTTTACCATAAAAGAATGAATTAAAAAAAAAAAAAGAGACATTCTTGTCACTATTTCTCTTATATTTAAAGGTTAATAACTTTTATTCCCCGTGATTGTAATTAGTAGTTACAAACCAAAAATCAAGAGTACGATACCTTTTTGAAGTGAGGGGGAGCCATATGTGTACGCATCATTCAACTTGGGAGCTTTAAAACTCAAAATCATTTCTCCAAATTCATCCAAGCTAGCTGCGATATTTGCGCTTTCGAGAGGCCGCTTCCATTGCATTAGAGCCAGGCTGAGGAGGCAATGGCAATTGAACTTGTTTAATGTCACCATCTTGATATTCAACTGCAGATGTCGGGCATACCCCACACCTTTTGATCTCTGTTATGCTACAACCTTCGAATTTAACTTTAAGCTCCATGTTGCTCTGACCATTTCTTTTCCTTTCTTCAATTTTCCTTTTTAGTTCTCCAAGTGAATCAGGATCATACCAAAGACCGACATGCCAAAGATCAACATACTTTGAGAACGCCGGCCCACCCAGGTAAAACAATCTTTCAGTGGGCCCGCAAGCATATTTACCATCAATAAACCATTTGACATCAATGTTTCCTCCCCACCATGGTGGTAATTTAGAAAAGACGGCGCAAAAAAGGAATCCCCCATCCTCAGAATTTGGAATCGAACTGAGATTCACAGACACCGAAGACCCTTTATCCCTATACATGAACCACTTTGGAACTCTTTTTCCTGGATATTCCAATCCAGCATAGTCATAAGTGGCTTTCTTTACCTCAAGTAGGACTCTTGCCTCAGCAGCTTTGATTGCCCGTCGATTCAGCTTCTCGCAATTTGTGAATAAAAACCGCGGCCATGCGTTATATTTTCCTTTTTCACCTTCGTTTGTCGAAGGTGAATATTGTATGGTCTCAAGGGATTCTATGGTCTGAAGGGATGTGCAGTCGGTGGCAGTCAATGTCAAGATAGAGGGAGGGAGCTCTGGTAGACGACGAAGCCTTTTACATCCATCCAGTTGAAGACGTTGAAGGCGTGAAAGATGTTTGATGCTCGAAGGCAAGGTCTCTACATGAGTCTCTGAGAGATCCAACTGACGTAATGATGACAGGAAGCTGATGTCATCAGGAAGTTCAGATAATTCATAGCAATACCGAAGCGATAGAATTCGCAAAGCACCCATCTTATCACACTTGGACAGGAGAGGTGATGCTAGCTTATTACACCCTCCAGCATCAAGACGTCGAAGGCCACGCAGCTTAATCAATTTGTGAACGCTTGTCACATTTCCGCAACCTCTTAGAGACAATGAATGAATTTTGCTGCGATGCCCACTTGATGAGCGCAACGCACCACTGATGGCAGATGCTGAAAGTTGTAAATCGAGCTCTTCTTTTTTGAGGTCACTGAAAATTCCTCCAGACTTAACCCCAAGTACATCGAGCTTAATGAGAGATTGGAGATGGGTATCGCTTGTAAGGCTGGTAAGGGACAGGCAACAGCGTAGCGATAAACGACACAGGCTGGGGAGAGATAAAATAGATGGATGTACACTCCGCAATTTTGAGCACCACTCGAGATCAACATGTTTAAGACTTGTGGCCTTGGAAAAATCTGGGAGTTCAATCAACTCTTTTGATTGACGGAGCGTAATTTTGCTTAAGTTCACAAGATTCTGTGAAAACATAAATTACATGATAAGATTGGTGGCCAAAACCAAATTAAATTACTCATCTACTTCTTTTTATAAGGTTTCGCTCTCTGTTTTCCTCAGAAAATTAGTTGAAATTAGCTATATTTCAACAAATTTTACAACTTTTCATGATCTTAATCAATACTTCCTCCGACGGAAGATATGAAATAACTAAATCACATAACTTGAATAAAATTATTTAAAGATAATAAATAAATAAATAAAGAAAATGTAACTTATTTTCTTATAACACGTTTGTTTATGAAGAGGATAAGTGAGAGAAAAAATATGTAGAAAAAGAGATATGAGAGAATAAGTGGGGGGAAAAAAGAATTAGAAAGATATATAATTAATTAAGAGTAAAAATAAAAATGACGTATTAATGATTAGATAAATCCAAATTATAACTTATAAAATAAAACAAAAAAAGCTTCAAAGATTTGATGCTTATAATTCAACAAAGATGGTAATCTTTATAAGTGAAGGTCATGGAGCTTAGTGTGAGGGTAAAAGACGAAGGCATTTATTTAGAATGGGTTATCAATATGTCATTGAATTTTGTAAGAGATTTTATCTGGACCTCAAAAATGGACTGAGGAGAGAGTACTTAATAAAGATTTTCCAACTAATGTATTAACAATATTCACCAAGGACAAAATATAAAATTCACCTGCACTCCATCCCAAAGTCTTGTCAAATTGCTCTTGGGCATTTGGAATTCAACAAGATTTTCAGCCTTGAATGTTGCCGGCAAGGACGCACAAGGGTATGCCGTCCAACACAATTTTATGAGTCCTTCTGGCAAAAAGTCTAATCCATCAGGAATTTCTACCTTGACTTCATCCCCACCAAAGATTTTGTGATAAGAATAAAAATTAAGAATCTTTAGGTTGGGCATTGAACGAAAGGCTCTACGACTTAAGCGCATCTCTCCAACTTCTTGAAGGTTCAGGCTTACAACTTCAATGGCTTTACTTCTCTAACAAATGGAAAAAATTGACTTTAGTAATAAAATACTGACTTCAAAAAAATTTTATATAAAAAATATGAAGAAATTTTGCTCTTACCTTTTTTGCCCCCAATATTTCAGATATTTCTTTAGGATCCCATAATCGACTGCGCTTTCTAGGATGCTTTGGTGACTCATCACGAACAGCCTGTCGACCCATTTCTCTTAGCAGATCGTGCATTGATATGCTCCCAGATTCATCAACTTCTAAAAGAGCCGTCTCTTTAAGTCTTTCCAATTCAAAATGGACTGCATAACCACGTCGGGCTTTTAACAAATCTTTTACCGCCTCAACACCATCAGTTGAAAGACATCCCATAAAATAATTATATTCGGGTAAAAGACATGCGATATCCAAGAAACTCTCTTTCTCTCCAGCCTCAAGTCCTTCAAAACTTACTTTTAGGACTTCGTTAATTTGTGGATCTGGTAATTTTTGAAGTTTTTCTAATCGGCTTTCCCAGACTTCTTGATTTTTCTCATTAGCCAAGGAGGAACCTAAAACTTTCAGGGCCAGTGGATTTCCATTTGCATACCTAGTCAATTTCTGTGCCAACTCTCTTAGTTTTGGGTCAGGGGCAGGGCGGTCTTTTCCAAAGGCGTGTAAAGAGAAAAGTTGAAAAGCCTCCTCAGAATCCAAACCCTTCAGTTCATATATAGCATCACGATCTACATCTACCTTAGCACCAAGGATTTTTTTATTTCTAGTTGTTACTAAGATTTTACTACCTGGTCTAAACAAATCGCGCCTTCCAACCAAATCGTTTACTTGATCATAACTATCAACATCATCCAAAACAATGAAAACTTCTTTCCGTTGAAGTCTCCTCTTGTCGTAAGGGCTAGTGTGAGCATTTTTATCCCCAAATAATTCCGAAATAAGATCTTTCTTCACATCCTCTATTCCGCGATTCTTTGATTTTTCTCCCACTTTTTCCATAAAGACAGACCCTTCGTATTTATAACGCCGCCTCTTAAATAATGCTCTTGCAAGGGTTGTTTTGCCCATACCGCCCATCCCCCAAATGCAAATGATTCGGACATCGTTGGACTCCTTGTCCAACAATAATTCTACGTGTTGCATTTTCTCTTCAATTCCAATCAAGTCTTCTCCATTATCTTCGGGATACTGTTTGCGCAACCTTTTGTTGACACTTTCCACTATTTTTTCAATTTCGTGTGCTTCATTATCACTGCACGCCATTGGAAAAGCAAAGATGCACCAAATTTAATATCGCTTTATCTATTCAAAATTTTAAACTATTCCTAATAAAATGCAAATTTGAATACTTGTCAATTTTCAAATGTGTTCTTATTAATAGTTTCTTCGGAAACTGCTCCTTATTATAATTATAAGAGGTAATTGTAAAGTATGTTATGTTTCTTTCTATAAGACATATTTGAAAGTTGTCCCAAATTTTGTTTGTTTATTTTTCATTTTATCCTATTTAATTACTCAAATTACACCTATTATTACATTTAATTACCACACATTCTATCTCTCATATATTATCTCTCTTCCACATAAGCGAGAGTATTTTGGATAAAAAAGTTATCCTTTTTATCCGCTTAACGGAGGAAGTACCAGATACCTTAAACTAGATATATAAAATTTCAGCTTAATTTAATGGCTATGAATGCATCATAATGACCATAGTGAGACGGGGATTTAGATGAAAAATATCGTAACAATAAAGTTGACGGGCCTAGTGGACTGGCTAAGCAACGTGTATATATATGAGATCCTGTCCTCTCATTATGATTATCAAATCCCATGAGATGCTCAAAGATTGATTTAATTTAGCCCCATTCATCATGCAAGAACATGGTAAGAGAAAGATCGTAAGCATGTCGTTACCTATCGGTGATGGGGAAACCAGATATACCAGCGGCTTTAGCGAGAGCCTCCCTCCACTGGCGCAGTTGTTGCGTGTTGATGCCTTTGCGCTCATGTTCTTCAAGTGCTTTCTTGTAACTCCCAGACTGCTTCCTCACGTCTGAAGGATCTACTTTATAGAACACAGGTATAACAAGGTGATCTTGATTTCTGCAGAGGTCTAATATTTTTGCAAGTTCCTTCAGGCACCACGTGGAAGATGCATAGTTTTCTGAGAACACCACAAGGAACAGAGCTGAATCTTCAATGGCTTTCTCAAGAGATGGCCATACCTCATCTCCTTTCTCAATTCCGTCGTCGGTGAATGTTTCTATTTCGCTTCTGCGAAGAGCATGGCAAAGATGGCTGGTGAAATTTCCGCGGGTGTCCTCACCTCTAAAACTTAAAAAAATATCATGTGGCTTTGGATATTGAGAAGATGGAGCAGGGGAGGAAGATGAAGCCATATCAGATTGCTTTGATATGGGGCAAAATTAGAATTCTCTTGTATATATAGGAAACAAAATGAATAATAAATAATTGTAAATTACAAATAAAAGCAAAGCTAAGTTCGATTCCGTGTGCCTTCTGAGAAGTTTCCCTGATTAAAGAAAGGCAGTCCTCCCAAGTTGGAATTTTCCAGTGCTCTGAGTAGGTGGATAAGACAGGACTGTAGGAAATTACTCAGTGACCTTGACCCAAAAGCCTAGTCAAATTTAAAAAAATCAAACCAGATTTCTTACTAAAATTCATTTTAGGGGGTGTTTGGAACATCCCATAATCACTTTTCAAAAACACTTTTTCATAAATCGAGACAAACTCCTCTACATATTTACTTCGTATACCGTAAAAGCACTTCTGAAACTATGATTTTGTACTTACCCAAACCCCCTCTTAATAAAGCACTCTGACTCTACCTTTTAATTTTCGTTTCTACTCCTTTTCTTGAGGTCTGGCGTATGTGTTCGCTATTGAGAAATATAAAACTGAACAAATATAATAATATGTTCGCATTACATTTACAATGCAAGTCCTCACCTTTTGGTCCAAAGGAAAAAGAAAGTCGTATCATGTCTTTTTCAGTCAAAATGAAGCCTTTCTAGCGGTGAGACATCCAGCAAACCTTGGGAGAAGCCTAAGCCCTTATTTGATTTCTATTTTTTAAAATTTTTATTTCAGTTTCGGCAAATGAAAAAGGAATTCATGTTTGAATGGGGTCTGAGGTGAAGCCCAAAAAGCCAGTCAATGAATAAAGATGGTGTGAGTAATAAACACGGAATAGGGTACGTCATGGAAATTGTGCACATGCCGCTGTAAACGCTGCTGATACGGATTGCGCGTGACTAATTTTCATCATTTCACATTAGCAATTTATAACCTTTTTTTTCATGGGTCACAATTTAAGTCATCATGTACTACCCTGCAAGTGGTACCAAGTTACCGACAACACCAGGTGACACCATTTGATGAATGTCATTTAAACAACTTTTTGACAATTTCATTAAAAGAGTAGTAAATTTCGCCTATGATGTAGCAAATTCCCCAGAACGTACATGGCATATCATATGAACAGTCCTAAGTGTGGAATTGATAAAACGTGTCGTGATTTGCTTATGTAAAATGATGAATCTCACTTTAAAGTGTAGCAAACTCCGCCTCGACTGCGGTAAATTTCTTAAGATAGGATCATTTGCTTTGATAATTATTTTATGTATTATTTTATATCATTTTAACAAATGGACTTGATGGTTGAACGATCATATGACTTTATAGAATCTAAAGGGTTCAAATCCCAATGATTTAGATCATTGCAAGTGAGGAGTAAGGAATCACAGAACTCGTGGAACACGTTGCAGCAGGGGTGAATTAATGTGGAGATAAATTGATAAGGATGAATTTTCATTGTGTGGATTTTTCTGGTGTAAAATAGTACTGCTCCCTTTGGCCAAAAAAAAAAAAAGAAGTATTACTCCCTCCCAGACTTATTTTGATTTAACATTTTATTTTCGCAAACTTATAAATTTTTTCTCAAAATCTTCATATTGATTATGACAAAAAAATTTCATTTGAAAGTAGTTAATGATTAAAAAACACTTTAGAATATAAATTAATCTATGTTTTTCATAAATAATACTCTTTTGATCCTTAATATAAGACCCATTTAACTAATTTGATTAGATTAAGAAAATTGGGTAAATTAGTTAATTATAAGAAAAGTAACACATTTTTTCTAAAATACTATAATCATCTTTCTTAATACTCTCTCCCTCCTCTACTTGATTATAGTTGATGTAGTATCCATAGAGATAATTTAGAAAAAATTGATAAATATAAAAAATGGGTCTTATATTTAGGATTAAAACCAACTCAAGAATTGAGTCTTATATTAAAGACAAGAGGAATAGTAGTTAATTTAAACAAACAGGGCTAAGGCATTTGAAAGAAAGCTGGTGTTGGAATTTTACTGTGCTATTACAAGCGGGTGAAAAAGAAATAAACACCAAGTGTGGAAGTGAGGAACTAAATCGGCACGCTTGCAAGTTCTTAATGATTACACATGCAACAGTATTGAAGGCGGATAAATAATCTAAAATGAAACTGATTTTTTTTTCTTCTGTTTTTGGTGCAATATTATGCATATATAAATTAAAGATAGGGTCTAAAAATTTGTTTCATTTGTCCAACATCCCTTTAGTGTGGGATATAGTTGTAATTGGTTTTAAAGTACGACTTGAGGTTTTACCCGTTTCCGCGTGACTTCCGGAGGGTTTTAATGCGTGATTCGGAAACTGATTGCTTTGACACTTTCTGCCAAATTTCTCAAAAGGTCTTCACCCAAAGCTTAATCAGAAAATTACAAATGATTCAAATTTAATAAAAGGTCTTCCTGATTTTGAATATCCCTTTTTTTTGGGCCAACAATTATGATTCTCATGTCTCGATGCTTTGTGATTAAGATTTAGGGAAAACTAATTCATAAATCTTTATAGTTACTTGATTTTTAATCAGGCTTTCGTAATTTTTTTAATTAGGTTCTTACCTTTTTTTTTAATTATAGGTATCGGTTCCTGTACTTACAAGTTGTTAATTTGTAAGAGAAATAAGGTTGGTAATTAGTGACATTGTCCTCATTCAGCATATACTTGGATTAATTAAATTTGTCACATAGATGTAAATAAAATCAAAATCAACTGTTATATTCTGCATGTGGGGAATATCTACCCAGCGTGTTGGGAAACATTCTTTTCTTCATATCTACCCCTGACATGTATCACTGTTAGCGACGGTCACCACTTGCCAAATATGATTTTTTTTTTTTTGTATTTCTTGTTTCAAATATAAATTTTTAAAATAATTATCCAAATATATTTTTTGTTTTTTTTTTCAAAAATTGTTTTTAAAAAAAAGTTTTATAAATTGTTTTGGGAAAAGAAAACAAAAAAAAAAAAGAATCAAACAAGCCCAAAGTTTTCTTTTTTTATCTGCGGACGTTGCAAAGAAGGGAGAGAAGACGCACGGAGTACGTGAAGAAAGCGACTCATTCCAACCATAAGCGAAGATTAAAGGCCCTTTGTGCCCAGAAAATCCTCACTGACAGAGTTATATATGCAAGGGAAAAAAAGACCCAGTGTTGCAGATCAAAATGAAATGGAACCTTGAGAACTTTAGATAATTCCAAGAGAAAGGAAAAAGAATTAAGAACTAGGCGGCGCTGATACATAGATTTATATCAAAAAGGCAATTAAGAACTTTAGATCAGAGTATGCAAATAGCACACCCCTGAATTAGCATATATTTGCACAGATCCATAATCACAACCAGTTGCTACGGGTGGATACTCAAGTGTTTTAAGAGAATTGGGTGGGTCATAATCTTCTTCACCTCCGCTGGTTTCATGTTCTTCGCGATCCTTGTCCTATTATTGAGACAAATGATCCATTCTTATCTCCTCATGTGATCAGGCTCTGCTTCAGTATTAATAACGTCACTTTTAGATGGTGACAAAGCCACCTGCCATAGAATGAGACACCAGCCGAGCCAAGCACAGCCTGCAACAGCATACCAAATACAAGGCAAGTCCTTAAATGACATGCATTAACATATGTAACCAGGAAGCAGAACAAAAAGGTGACATTGACAATGACCAGGGCAACCATTTGGATTTTTTTCAAAAACGTTCTTTTGTTTACAAAACGAAACATAATTTCAGCAATTTAAAGATACTTGAGGCCACAAGACTGATAATATTTGACTCTCTGGAGTTTTTCTTTTAGTCTCGAAAATTCTTCAAACTTGGGAACCAAGCCGTTGTTTTAAGATGCCGAGCGCTTTTTAACTTGATTAACCCCACAGCCACAAGAAGATATATGAGCGGCCTTCCAAACTTAAACGTCAGGTCCAAATGCAAAGTTATAAAAAGGCAAACGAAGTATAGCTTATAAAATGCTAAAGTAAAAAACAATTATTCCGCACCTTCTGTGTCCGGTGGAAAAGATCCAAATCTGCAGGGAGCCATCTTCACGCGCTGGGGCGACCAGCGAATCATCGATGCCGATGACCAGAGACACTAGAGGAGAAGGCTTTCGATCTCTTGAACTGATTTTATAAAGTTGGTTCATTCTATAACAGAAAACAAATCAAGCCCACATCTATGTCTTATATTTGCGAACTCCTTCAATGGCTTCCTCAACCTCAAGCTCCATATATTTCTTTGACCATCAGAGAAGATGCAGCAATGAGGTAAATGGAGACAAAACATATTTGCACATAGGAGGTGAATTCGCATTTTATTTCTCAATCTGCTTGGTTAAGAAGTAATCACCTTAATGTCCAGTTGAATCCAACTCTTCAAGATCCAACAGAAAGAAAGTCGTGGCTGTAATATGCCGAGGCCAATAGTCGAATGTCATCGTCACTCCCATCATCTTAGCTTAAAACAATAAAGAAACGTTAAGATCAGCAATGCAATTTGGACTCCTCAGACCTCAAGAATAGAATCAATCTCAATAGGAAAAAAAAATGTTAAATTAATTGTATGTATGTCATAGTACAACATAAGGATGCGGTAATTAGTACGTACAACCATACAAAAATCATGTCTATAACTACTAATTAAAACCAGAGTATACCATTTTGAGGTGGATGCACGAGAGTGATGTATGAAGTTATAGTGTTTAGATCAATTCAACCTGAGAGCTTTAAAACTCAAAATCATTTCTTCAAATTCATCGAAGCAAGCTGTGGTATTTACGCTTTCGAGAGAGGCCGCTTCCATTGCACTAGAGCCAGGCTGACGAGGCAACGGCAATTGATTTTGTTTAATGTCACCATTTTGATATTCATCCGCAGATATCGGGCATACCCTGGACCTTTTGATCTTTACCATTCTGTCATCATCCGAAGAAGTTATAGTGCATTTGCGCTTTCGAGAGAGAGAGGCCGCTTCCATTGCATTAGAGCTAGCCTGAGGAGGCCATGGCAATGGAATTTGTTTAATGTCACCATCTTGATATTCAACTGCAGATGTTGGGCATACTCCACACCTTTTGATCTCTACTATTCTGTCATCATCCGACAAACTTTGAATTTAACTTTAAGCTCCATGTCGCTCTGACCATTTCTTTTCCTTTCTTCAATTTTCCTTTTTAGTTGTCCAAGTGAATCAGGATCATACCAAAGACAAACATGCTTTGAGAGCTTCGCCCAAGCAAGTAAACCTGTCTTTAGCGCCCCTGGAAGCATATTTACCATCAATAACCATTCGGCATTAATTTCTCCTCCCCCCTCGAATGGTAATTCAGAAAAGACGACGCAAAAAGGAATCCCCCATCTCTCAGAATTTGGAATCGAACTGAGATTCACAGTCATAGGATCCTCTTCAGTACTCTTAAACTTGAACCACTTTGGAACTATTTTTCCTGGATATTTCAATATAGCAGAGTCATAAGTGGCTTTCTTTATCGCAAGTAGCACTCTTGCCTCAGCAGCTTCGATTGCCCGTCGATTCAGCTTCTTGCAATTTGTGAATAAAAAGCGTGGACATGCCTTATCTTTTCCTTCTTCACCTTCGTTTGTCAAAGGTGAATATTGTATGGTCTCAAGGGATATGCAGTCAATTGCAATCAATTGCAAGACAGAGGGAGGGAGCTCTGGTAGACAACGAAGCCTTTTACATCCCTCCAGCTCAAGACGTTGCAGGCGTGAAAGATGTTTGATGCTCGAAGGCAAGGTCTGTGCATTAGTCTCTGAGAGATGTAACTGACGTAATGACAGCAGCAACCTGATGTCATTAGGAAGTTCAGATGATTCATTGCCATACGCAAGCCGTAGACTTTCCAAAGTACCCATCTTATCACACTTGGACAGAGAGGAGGTGACGCTAGCTCATTACAGCCTCCAGCATCACCCCTCGAAGGTCACGCAGCTCAATCATTCGTGAACGCTTGTCACATTTCCGCAATTGGCTATAGCTAAGTCACGAATTTTGCTGCGATGCCCACTTGATGAGCGCAACGCACCTCTGATGGCAGCTCCTGAAAGTGTGAACAGAGCTCTTCATTTTCTGAGGTTACTGAAAATTCCTCCAGACTTGAGCAATAACTTACATCGAGCCGACTGAGAGATTGGAGAGGGGTATCGCTTGTAAGGCTGGTAAGGGACTTGCAACGGTAGCCCGTAAACTATGCAGGCTGGGGAGAGATAAAATAGATGGATGAACACTCCGCAATTTTATACACTCCATGAGATTAACATATTCAAGACGTGTGGCCTTGGAAAAATCTAGGAGTTCAATCAATTCTTCTGAAGCATGGAGCGTAATTTCGATTAAGTTCCGAAGATTCTGTAAAAGCATAAATTACATGATAAGATTGGTGGCCAAAACCAATTAAATTACTTATCTATTCCTTTTTATAAGGTTTCGCTGCCTGTTTTGCTGAGAAAATAAGTTGAAATTAGCTATTGTCAACAACTTAAATTTTACAACTTTTCATAATCTTAATCAATACTCCCTCCGATTGAAGATACCAAATAACTACATCACATAATTTGATTAAAATTAGTTAAAATAATAATGATAAAAGAAAATGTAACTTATTTTCTTAAACATGTTTGTTTATGAAGAGGATAAGTGAGAGAAAAAATATGTAGAAAAAGAGATATGAGAGAATGAGTGAAAAAAAAAAGAATTAGAAAGATATATAATTAATTAAAAGTAAAAAATAAAATGATGTATCTCACCAAAAAAAATGATGTATTTAATGATGAGGTAAATCCAAATTATAACTTATTAAAAAAAAAAAGCTTCAAAGATTTGATGCTTATAGTTCAACAGAGATAGTAATCTTTATAAGTAAAGGTCATGGAGCTTAGTGTGAGGGTGAAAGACGAAGGCATTTATTTAGAATGGGTTATCAATATTTCATTGAATTTTGTAAGAGATTTTATCTGGACCTTATAAAAAGGGCTGAGCGGAGCGTATTTAATAAAGATTTTCCAACTGATGTGTTAACAATATTTTGTAAGAAAATATAAAATTCACCTACACTCCATCCCAAAGTCTTGTCAATCTGCTGCCAAGCATTTCCAATCGAACAAGACTTTCAGCCTCAAATGTCGCTGGTAAGGACTCTGGCCCAATCCAATCCATGAGATTTCTTGACAGAAACTTCATACAAGAAGAATTTAACTTGTTCCTAAGCTGTCCATTCAAATCTCCACAAACCCTAAGAAACTTTAGATTGGGCATTGAACGAATGCTTTAATAATTACGCTCGTCTCTTCAACTTCTGAAAGGTTCATAACCATGCCTTCAATACGTCCCTAACAAACAAAAAATAATAATAGTAATAAAAATTATATAAATCAAATAGGGATTTGGAATTCAACAATCTTTTAATAAATAAATGTGTAAATTTCACACTTACCATATTTTTCTTTATATTTTCAGAACTTTTCTTGAAAATCCAAAATTGTTGCACCATGTAGGATATTTTAAATGATTCTTCACGGACAATTTGTTTACCCATTTGTTTTTATTAGACTGTGCATACATATTCATCCTCTATCAAATTTAAAAGGGCTTTTCCTCAAGTCTCGTCAATCCAATCTCGGTTGAATAATGCATGCATCTAACAATTTTTTTACATCCTCAGCATCATAATAATAATTGAAAAAACATGCGACGTGCAAGACAATATTTTTCTCTTCCTTATCAAGTCCTTCAAAACTCAATCTGAGGATATCAATGACTTCTGGACAAAACAATTTTTGAAGCTTTGCCAATTGGCTTTTCCGTGCTTCTTGATTTTTGCCACGCAAGGTGGAGCCTAAAACCTTTAGAGCCAAGGTGGAGCCACCTGCATATTTAGTCACTTCTTCTGCTAGCTCTCTTATCTTCGGATCACTGCAGCCTGTTTTGAAGGCATTCAAGGAGAAAAGTTGAAAAGCTTCATAAGGATCCAAACCATGAAGCGCATATATATTATTATCATCCACTTTCGTACGAAGCACTTGCTTGTCTCTGCTTGTTATTAAGACTTTGCTACCTGATCCAAATTCACATCTTCCAACTAAATTTTCTAATTGTTCAGCATTATCAACATCATCAAGCACAATGAAAACCTTTGTCCGACGAAGCCTAGTCATGATATGAGAATATATTGCTTTACCCCCCAATAAACTCCAAACAAGTTCCTTCCTTAAAGCATCTATTCCATCTTTTTTAATTTTTCTCCCACTTTTTCCAAGAAAGTAACCCTTCGTATTCAAAATGCCGCTTGTCATACAATGCTCTTACAAGAGTTGTTTTGCCCAAACCGCCCATCCCCCAAATTCCAATGAATTGGCAACCACCATTTTTTGAACCTTTGTCCAACATTGATTCTACAACTGCCCATTCTTTTGTGAATTCCAATCAAGCCTTTTAGATGATCTTCACTTTGATACCTACGGTCCAACTCTTTCATGATACAATTCACTATTTCTTTAATTAGCCGCTTCATTCCTACACACCATTGAAAAATAAAGAGGCACCAAATTTAATACCACATCATCTATCCATTTCAAATTTTGAACTATTCCTAATGACATGTAACTATGAAGATTTGCCAAATTTTAAATTTTTTTTTTATTTTTTTTGTCATAATATTTTTTTTGAGAAATATTACTTATATTAGATGACATAACTAGATATATACATATATCAGAGAAGATCATAAGCATATATACAATTACCTATCGGGGCTACAATGCCAACCGGATAAATTGGCAGCATGAGTGAGAGCCTCCCTCCACTGGCGCAGTTGTTGCGTGTTGATGCTGCTTTTGCGCTCATGTCCTTCAAATGCTTCGTGGTAACTCCCACGTTGCTTCCTCACATCTGAAGGATCTACTCTATAGAACACAGGTATAAGAAGGTGACGCTGATTTCTGCAGCACTCTAATATTTTTGCAAGCTCCTTCAAGCACCACGTGGAAGATGCATAGTTTTCTGAGAACACCACAAGGAACAGAGTTGAATCTTCAATGGCTTTCTCAAGAGATGGCCATACCTCATCTCCTTTCTCGAGGCTGTCATCGATGTATGCATATATTTTTTGTCCACAAAGAGCATGATAAAGATGGCTTGTGAAATTCAAGCGGGTGTCCTCACCTCTAAAACTAATAAAAACATATTTCTTGGGAGATTGAGAAGATGGAGCAGAGGAAGAAGATGAAGCCATAGCAGATCGCCTGG